TATGCTTTCAGGATTCTTTCTCAGATGGTCAGCTACCTTTAGACACAAAAATTAAATAAAGTGGAGGCAGTTATCCAAAATCCCATACAGTAACCTTTCTCCTAAAAAGCTGGTTTGAAATCTTCAAGTCGTGGCTTAATTTTTTTGGAATCATTATCTTTAATCTCAATCGCGATACTTGCAAATTCTAAATTGTTATGTCTTTTGAAGGAGCATTCCCAAAAATTAGGAAAAACTGACAATGTGAATGCTTTCAATTCCGCAATTAAGAATCCATTTAAAGGTAATTTCCGTAATCAAAATTCGCGCTCATATATTGTTGCGCTCCATTCACTAAATGACGCTCTTTTGGTGATCAAAACATTACGTACGTTTTTACTACAGAACGTCCATGGAACCGGTTTTGTAACGCTGTTATGTACTTTGACTCGCTTTCAAGCAAATTATTGAATTGCTTCTGTCTGTTGATAAGCCGTTTGCTAACTTACTAAACTGCACATTCAGTTATCTGATTTTAAGATAAGCTGCTGATATCAACTTTAAAGTTTCGCTTTCGAAGTGTCTATTTAATACTCGCTCATGTTATTTTCTCCACAGAGGTTAAAAATGAGTAATTTGTCCTTAAGCTACTTCTTCGCTTCGTTATGGGTCTGAACTAGGATTGTCATCGCAAGGATCGACAGCATTGTCGTCGCGTAGAGGGCATGCTCGTGCTGATCTTGGAACCGCGCCAAGTCATCATAGGTAATCCATTTATTTTATTTCTGTTCTCAATTTGAAAGAACAGAATATTGCGAGTTTTCAAAAGAGCAAATTTAGTGCGTGAATAGCTAGCTATTTTAGGACAGTCCGTATCGAAGGACTTGAAGATGATCTGGCAGACGACAACAATCAGCCCCGTATGTATATCTGGGGAACGAGAATCTGCGTAGTTGACGTGCAGAGGTACATTTCATTTCGACATGCTTGTGTTTACATCACTTCGGCATTTGAAGTGTTCTAATTTAGAGCTTTTCGCGGATTTATCACCGAATTTAAAATCTCATCCCTTGATGAAGATGAAAACATGCTGATGTTGCCCTCTACGGTGAGCATAAACTTGGTTCTAATAAAATT